ATTAAATTAACCTTTAAACATACATAACACTTTGAGATCAGTTCATTCTTTTGGGAGCTACGATGCTACAAACTGAGGTTTCAAACTGAACTCCCCTTGTTGCTTTAATATAACACCTTTTTCCGACTTCGTTTTATTCATCATTCAAAAGTGGACTGTATATATGTAGAGTTTGTTCCTACCCAAGACGGACGTCGATATGATCTTCAGTCATCAGAGTGCGTGTTTTTATCCGGCTCGAAGGACCAAACCTTTTGAGGGTCCTTCAATAACGCAGCTTTGTCCGACTTCATTTTATTGATCCTTTAAAAGTGGATTATATACGCGGGGGCTCATTCCTACACACGTCGACGTGATTCTTCTCGAATTCTTATCCGGATCGAAGGACCAAATGTGTTGCGGATCTCTAATAAAACAGCTTTTTCCCCACTTTTAGCGACGAGATTTAAAGGTTCCATAATTTGTCAATTACTCATTACCCATTACATATTACATACGTTTCACGCCCTGTTCCTGTCCGGGTACGCGGAAACCACTGCCTTCCATTTGCTACGAATCCGATACACATCTTTTACCTCATCAACAATGCAGTCATACACGCTCGTCGGTTAAGTGCGCTCTTGACCTGGCCTCTCTTATGGTCGCGGTAAGTTCGCCTTGGCCTCGTTTTCTATTTCGTCAATCTATCTTTAGATGTTACGTGATGAATGAGTAATTTTAAAATAAGTATCAAGTGATATGTAACTAACTTTACGTATATAAAACTAAATACTGTTGTAACTCAAAAATGATGAAATTGAAAAAACACGATTTGATAATCTCAGTACAGAGTACTAAAACAACCGACCTCAAAAGTACGTACTTACCGGAAAGTGCGCAAACCCGGATTCATCCCCTAGTTCGCTACTATATGGGACATGACACAGGAGATAATAAAAATCGGTTCTCACTACTCAAAATATAGGCATTGAGAGAGAGAAACGCCTTGAAATGGAGAATAGTAAAATCAACCGTTAAAATAAATTGCTCCTTATAATAAAATTTAGGCGCTATTTATAAAAATGAATCTTCGTGATTGAATAGCCACCCTTAGAGGTGGATGATTTTCTTCAAATTAAATGGGACCACTATGGAGATACCCTCTTTCTAACAAAAGAATCATAAAAATCGGTTCACAAATACCGGAGTTATCGCGTAACATACATACAAAAAAAATCCTCCTTTTTTAAAGTCGGTTAAAATTTAAAAAAGTTTAGAATGAATCTTATTGTAACTACCATTATTTACAATAAGATTCATTCAGTATTTTTTTTAATATAAATTTATTGATTCCATTCACTTCTATTTGTTATAAATTTATTGATTCCGTTCATTTTCTCGACGTTCAAATCATGTTTTTTTTTTTGTATATTTGGTTGTGTTTATTTAGTTTCATGTGCGATTATGTGATATGAAACCAAGAAAATATAATTAAACAAATGTTGAAAAATAATCATTTCACATATTTTTATCGAATAATTAGTAATTATTTTATTTAAAATATTATATCCTTGCAAAGTATCACTTATTAACCTTTGATTCAATTGAGACTCATTCGGATATTTTTTTTCTTTTTCATTTAATTCAAGTAACATTGACTCATATAACTGTTAATAAAGCATTGAGTAAACCACTTAATACTAATATTAGCAGGGTACAAAATTTACACAATAGACACTGTTGGTAACGTACAATTCACAACAGTGCCTCATGTACGGAGAGTCGAGCCTATCTGCTATCGATACTGCATTCAAACTGTGTGGATATACAGTTTGTAGAACTATGCTTAAGCTATGAAATTATGCTGAATGGATGATGATTCCGTACACTGGTATACCCATGAAATATTTTTTATTTTAGTTATTTTAGTTAACATAATAGCGCACACGCTCATAGCCCTGTATCGCGGGTACCATGGACACACCCATAGACAACCATAAATTACATCCAATGTCACGAGATAAATAAATGTGGCCATACAAATATTTCTCCCGGCCCTGGACCTCTGCGTGACAGTTTCCAGCATGGCAACCGTTCAGTCACGTAGGCAGTTAACACCAAAGACGCGATTTTGGCCCGAGATGGTCGTAAATAAATGCAATTTTCTCTTTTCCAGATGGACATCTACGTTCAAACAGCAAGTCCGATCGTCGAGGAAGTCCTCAAAGGCTACAATGGCACGATATTCGCCTACGGACAAACGGGCACCGGCAAGACCTACACAATGGCAGGCAGCAACTCCGCCCCTGAACTGAGGGGAATTATTCCCAATTCGTTCGCTCAAATCTTCAGTCATATCGCGAACGCCAAGGATGATGAAAAGTAAGTTCAACAGGGCTCGAAATTACCAAGATATTTATTGTCTTTGGTCCACGGACCAAATAAGGTTGAGACAGAGCGCCGGGCGTTGGCTCGCAGATTTCCACGGTGTACATTACCTGTTAAAGTTGTCATGCTGGCCTCGCATAATTAAATAGAAGACTCGGTCCACATGAATTTTATTGTAGAAATAAGGAAAGAGAAGGTACTGGAAGGGAAAAGAACAGGCAAAGTAAAGGCGTAAAGGCTGTAACAAAATAACGATATAAAACAGGTACAATGATATAAAAACATTCCCTACTTAAATTAGATACAAGTTAACAGGTAAAAAAGGAACTTACCCCAAAAGGGCCTGTATTTTCTTGAAATACAAAATGCTTGAAAGCGGTTAGCTTACATGACTTTTAATGGTGTAGGTAACTGGTCAGAATTGTAATGTGAGGTCGAGCACGTGTGCTCGCTTCGGAAATTCAGTAGAGAGTGGCCACGGAAGGAAGAAAAGTAAGAGTGACGAAGAAAAGGAATTTAAGAACGATTCAAAATTTCAAAGTAGGTGGCCAGGTTCCAGAGAAAAGGACGATAAAAAGGTGGGATGATGTTGAAAGTGGTCGCATCAGAAACAGAGTGATACTTTTCAAAGCTTTTGCGAAACTTTTTATTGGCATAATACAACAACACAAAACCACATAAAAAACAGTTTACATACAAATAATTATTTAACATATAATTACAATTGAAATTAAAGTAAACATACAAAGTAGATAGTCTGATATGGTCTGTGTTGCAGCGCCATGCCAACACGGGACTTAACTCAGCATGTGCTGCAGTAACATACCACTGCGCTGGTTTTCAGTAAGCCCGTAGAGCTCGACGCCAGCAATAAACGCAAAATAAAAAATATATGAATACTGCTACATATTACATTGACTATTATTATATGTATATTATAATTAATACGTAAATAAACATATAAAAGCAAGGTAACACAAATAATGATAATATCAAAATTCCTGCACACTGAAACCCAAATATAATGTGATTATAGGGTCATACTTCGTCAGCGATTCTTTTACCTCGAAAATGCAGGAACAACACGGCCGCCCGCGGGCAAATCGGCCTGGTATGATGTTAATAGTTTTTTTTTCATTTTGATTTTAAAAGAGTAGACCGATTTTAGTTCCCTTATAGGCGGCGGTAAGTTGTACCAGCACTTCGCTACTAAGCTACGTATCTGAAACTCCCACGAAACGCAGAAGTGCCGTGCGGAAGGATTTGTAACGCCCAACCCGTCGAACGAGGACGAGGACACTATGAATAAGGTCTAAGGGTAAAGATAGGGCCAGTCACTATAATCAAAACTAATGTAGAAAGTTACTGGGTCGTTACACTCAAAGGTTGTGAATCAACCGTCTCCAACAGGTTCTTGGTCTGCGTGACATACCTGGAGATCTACAATGAGGAAGTCCGAGACCTGCTGGGGAACAATCCACAGCAGAGCTTGGAGGTGAAGGAGCGTCCGGACATTGGCGTTTTTGTAAAAGACCTGACTGGTACGTACATAAGGAATTTTTTCTGAGCGTTCGAACTTTGTATTAATAATTATAACAAACTAGTGGAGTAATTTCACACAAAAAATAATTGAATATCAATTCAATAAAAATTTAAAATGCAATGAATAGCGACATTCCTAGCCGAGACTGGTAGCTGTAAAGGTATTTAACTGGGTGACAAAATACTTAGATTTCTCATAGATGGCGCTACGGGTAAAAAGTCGTTGAAAAACCAAATACAAAGACATAGCAACAAACACATAGAAAAATTCGTGAGGTCAGCTAGTTCGTCCCGTAGCTTAGTTGGTATAGCGTCTGGCACGGTATGCTAGAAGACGTCGGTTCGAATCCGACCGGATCGACAAACAAACTAGTGGAGTAATTTCACATAAAAAATAATCGAATATAAAAATTTAAAACATTAAATTGTTTTACTACTTTTAATTTTTCATGATACAAAGTGACACCTGGTGGCGACTCTTCTTTCTATAGCAGTTCCAGGGCCACTTAGAGTTCTAAATAGCAAAGATCTACGGAGTATTATTTCCCTGGACGAACTCTTTCACAAGGAGCTCTACTCTGTGAAAGAAATAATGCCAAAAAATAATAAATAATAAATAAAATAAAAAATAAAATACTTTTATTTCGGACAACAAGTTCCATATTTTGTTAGTAATAATAATAATAGAAAAAGAGCTTATAAACTAGTGTTAGTAAATATTTGTACATCATCAATTGGTTAAATCACCCTCCTTACGAAGCCTATAATAGAATAATGCTGTCCAGGGAAATAATGCCACCTTACCTATATCTACCGCCAAGCGATGTGAGCGTTTATTTATTATTGGAAATGAAACTAATTTTTCGGATTTAAATCGCGTATATTTGTTTTTTTTTAACAAACCAACGTTTCGGGCCCTTTACAGGTCCCATGGTCACTGTTGACTGAGGTAGTAAAGTCATCAACCAGTTATATGTAATATTAATGCAAACCACCCTATTTTTTCACTATGCTTACAAGAGTTATTAATTAAATACCTTATTTTTAATTTTACACAGAACATAGCAATTTACGCTACATACGTTTTGCAAATTATTTTGTTTTAACAATATGATTTTTTTATTAAGTTAAATATATTATTAATTAATAATGGAATCAATTAAATAATTTAAATAGTACTTATGTCTGTTTGGGATTTGTCATCAGAGGAAATATTGGATTAATTTATTTATATCAATTCAAGTTACAAAGACCCATAAAGACATACCTAATAGACTAACATACATAATAATATAATAAAACATTAGATGACTCTTTGTTATTTACACGTATTGTCTGCGACGTGTGACGCAACGTGGGTGTCCGGTAGCCAGCCTCGGAAACGTCGGTACATTACATCCTTCGGCCAAAACTCATCATTCATGAAGGTCGACAGATATTGAGTTGGTACTTTCACCACAAATGAATTAAAATTCACTCTGGTGGTGGTGGCGAGACCTTAACTGCTCGGCCCTCAGGGTTCTGAATTTATGATCTCAATCTACAGGCTACGTTGTCCACAACGCAGACGAGCTGGAGAAAATAATGGCAGTTGGCAACAAGAACCGTCACATTGGAGCAACGGCCATGAACACAGAGAGCTCGAGGTCGCATGCCATATTTTCCATCACAGTTGAGAGTTCGAAGAAGGGGGCGGACGGGAAGACTCATGTCAAAATGGGGAAACTACATCTTGTTGATCTTGCTGTAAGTATTTTATCACTGACAGCAGTCTTATAGAATTAATAGTAGAGCTCCTTGTGAAAGAGTTCGTCCAGGGAAGTGCTGCCACCTTACTTTTTTTTTGCCGCCAAAGAATAGTGTGAGCATTACTGCGTGTCAGCTTAAAGGGTAAGGTTTGAAGGGTAAGAAAGGGTGCTGGTGGAATTACAGGCACATGGGACTTGTCAACTTATGCCTCAGGGTGGTAGGCGCAGTGCCACTGTACTTCAGATCTTTGCGATTTAAAGCTCTGAGCGGCACTGAACAGGACTATGGACAGGCGTGTAGCTTACCATCAGGCGCACGACTTATTCGTCCCGTCACTTGATATTATATTTAATAAAAAATAATCACAAAAGAAATTCAAAATGGCATGCGATTTTTTCCGTCTCCACTGAGACGAGGGCAAATCGGAAAATTCATGATGTCTTAGCGAAACTGCACTTGTTAATTGTGCTGTATGTGTTTAATTAATAGTTGTTTTAAACGGATCTAAGAAATATTGAACTAACAGCAATAAACACAGTGTTCAAAATGGCATGCGATATCTTCCTTCACAGCTGGGAGGGTGCAGGTGAGTTTCATGAGGTTCATGTTTGTGATGGTGGAACTGCATCTTATTGATAATGCTGCATGTATTATTAACGGCCATTTTAAGCTGATCTAAGACAACGCAGTCTTGCTGGACCAACAACATTTGTTGTGAACATTGGTTCCTGTTGTTTCAAATAATATAGTAATTATTTAAAAAAATCTCAAACAAAATCTACTCAACTTTAATTATTTAAACTAAAACTATAAATCTAGATATCCTAGAAACACAAGGAGTAACATTTAAATACGGCCTACGACCTAATTTGGAATTTTACTATGGAACAATGTTTGTATTAATACCCAAATTATTTAGTTAATTACCGGATGTTGTAAAAAAATGAAATTGTATACAAGTTAAAATAAAATTGCATAATTTGTTAGTTACACAATGCTGTTACAATATTGATGATTTTTTTACTTGATAAAGTAAAATGTAAAATTTTACTAATTTTGGTAATTTTTTAAAACTTTCATTGAAATTTTATTGAATTTTTATTTTTATTGAATTATTAATACAAAAAATCGAACACTAAGAAAAATTCCTTCGAACTGGCTGGATCCGAACCAGCGCTTTCAATACGAAACACGTTCAATGACATCTTAAAAAATTACAATTATAACGTGATACCTCTAGTCAGCTGCTGGTAGCTGTAAAGGTACCTGTCCGAGTGAAGAAATAGATTTATCACAGATGGCGCTACGACAAAATAGTCATTAAAACTAATAACAATGATCTGCATAAACACTTAGAAAAATTCGTGGTTCGTTCGGTTTTTCAATCAACTTTGTATTGAATATCGTCAGAAAAATCTTGTTGATATCATTCCGTGTGCAGAGAGACCTAACTGTTACGTATACTGTCACTCCTCCCGCACCGCGCAGCTACCTCAGGAACCGACTCAGTTAAGCGGTAGGCCTGCAACTACATTTTTCACCGAATAAATATCTTGCATTCTAATTTTAACACCGTATCTTCATTCCCTAGGGTTCAGAACGCCAAAGCAAGACTCAAGCAACCGGCACGCGCTTGAAAGAAGCGACAAAGATTAACCAATCTCTCTCTGTGCTCGGCAACGTAATCTCAGCTTTAGTGGACGGAAAGTCTACCCACATTCCTTATAGAAACTCGAAACTCACTAGGTTACTGCAAGATTCTCTTGGAGGGAACAGCAAAACCGTTATGGTAAGACTTTTATTTTAACACTTATAGTTTTGGATGACAGGTCAATGTTAATTGGGCATTACGAAAAACCAGCTTATTTAGCAAGGCTGCACAACCGTTGTGTTAAGACATTTTCTTTAACAATTTTAGTTTCGGATGACAGGTCAGTGTTGATTAGTCGTATTTATGCCGTTTTATATTAGTTTTCGCTTTAGTTTATCGTTATAGTAAGACCTTTGTTTCAACAATTAGTATGCCATTTTATGGTGGTTTCTGCTTTGATCTTTGATGATTGATTTGATGAAAAATCAATACTGCCTCTGTGGCCGAACGGTTACCATGTCGAACTGCCACCCAGAGGTCCCGGGTTTGATTCCCGGGCCGGGAAAAATATTTGTGTGGCCTACATTTATTTCTCTCATGAATTTGGGTATATATTGTGGTTGTCTATAAGTGTGTCCATAGCACCCGAGATACAGGTTTTCCCTAGTGCGGGGCTATGTTGAGTGTGTGCGTTATTATTATTATTATAATAATAACCGATATAGATGATCTAAGCATAACCATAGTAATACTATTGGTGTTCGTACCCAATGTATGTAATGTAGAAAACCGTTGGGTAGATCCTTGTTTTACAATTGCTTTTATTTGATGATAAATCAGTGTGAACTAGGGGCCTACCATAACCTTTGAAAAAACAATCTTATCAACTGTAATGGGCAGGCGTGTCGCTTACCATCAGGCACAAAACTTGATCGTTCCCTCACTTAGTATTATAAAAAAACCGATCATCTTAACCCCTGAATTCTATCTCGACAAATGGCATCTGTAGGTCCAACAGATTCAAAATACAATCATCTAAATTATCTTGACCTCTAATTTGTAACTCGGCAGATAGCAACGATAGGTCCAGCAGACTCGAATTACGTGGAGACAATAAGCACCCTGCGGTACGCCAATCGCGCCAAGAACATCGAGAACAAAACTCATGTTAACAGCGAGCCAGGAGACGCCTTGCTTACCAGGTAGAACTTAAACTTTGTTAAATTAATGTTTTAATTGTTTTTTTCACGTCACTAGCTCGGAAAAAAAATTTTCTCATTAGAAATCTGTGCGTAAAAGCGTTTTTTCTACGCTAGCGTGGAAAAGGTTTTTGGAATTCGAACTTGACGATTGACTGTGGTGCACCTAACTTTTTATAATAATATAACAATAATAATCTCAGAATACTAAAATAACCAACCTCAAAAGTTCGTGAAATTACATCTATTTGCCAGGTTTTATTTTATTGAAATCGGTTATCGGAAAGTGCGCGAAACCGGATTCATCCCCTAGTTTGCCACGCTTAGAGGTGGAAGGCTTTCATCAAATTTAAATGGGACCAATGCTGAGGTACCCTCTTTCCAATAAAAAAAGAATCATCAAAATCGGTTCACAAATGAATTACCGCGTAACATTCATACAAAAAAACCATACAGTCGAATTTAGAACCTCCTACTTTTATTGAAGTCGGTTAAAAATACACATTTGATCATGTTATAATATTGGTCGTACATTTAAGCAGATTAACCTGTTAACTTCTAAGCTAAGTAATTGTATTGTAGTTTATGTAATTCCAAAAAAAACAAATAATTTGAATTATTAAGTTTTATTTCCACAGATTCCAGCAGGAAATTGATCAGCTCAAGAAACAATTGGAAGACACCAACAATGGTAATTTATTTCTACTAATTTTTACTCGTATGATGCTACCTATCCTCTGTACATTAGGTTTAGTTATTTGTATTATTTATGAACTGTAGAAAACGTTTATTGAAAAAACAGTAAGCATAAACTACATACTGTTGGGCCCACCCTATTAAATAATTAAAATGTCAGGTGGAACAATTTCTTAACAAACTTGTAATAGTGCTGAATTAAACAAAATACAAAATGTTGGTTCCCTCCTGAGCCCGTCTTAAATAGGACCAGACTTCACTCCGGCATCCTGCTTTCCTTCAATAAAACCCTTATAACATAAATCTTCCGGTTTACTGAAACTTATGAAAGCGGACTGTATACATTTCTACGAAAACTTATTTGAACACCTTATCTTTATGTCCATCTGACTTACAAGTATATCGAATAAGAATGAAATCGAATCAACAATTCTTACTAGATTCTCATATATATGCCGATACGGCGTCTCCCTATCAATGCACCGCAGACGCCGCCCGGCCAATCAGGGCTCCTGAATTATTTACGTAATTCTACTCTTATTTGCTCTGACCGGCCAGACGCCAGCCGTCCGTAACACAAATAATAAGAACGTCTTAGACATAAATATTACTAAAATGAATTGGAATAATAATGTGCCAGCATCAGAATCCACTCAGGGTGCTCACCCGGAACGTACAGACCAGATCCAGTTTGGAAAAGTGCATTTCTCTCATTTCTTTCTTTCTTTCTTTCTTTCTTTCTTTCTTTCTTATTTCCTAAATTGGTCCTGCCAGTAAGCGAATCCGGGAGCTTTTCGTCCAGCACCCGCAGTGCAAACCGTTGGGCAACAGACGTCGATATATAAATTTGAATACGCCTGTGTTTGTTATCCTTTTACTTTTCTTGCTTTGGGGTTGGGATTGCTGATTTGGGGTTAATCACCAAAACGTATGGTTATATGAATGGATTTTTTCATTGAATTTAACGATGAGGTTATTTCACAAAATATATTTTTTATTTTATGCATCATTTCTTAATTTTTTTGCTTACTACGGTGGTAGAAGATCGTGAAATTCAATAAAACAATCAGTAATACATAATACAGTAAAGCGACATCAACGTCAGCTTGTGGTAGCTATAAAGGTACCGACTAAGTGAGATCATAAATTCTCTCACAAGATGACGCTTACGGCGTTGAAAGCCGAAAAAAACTCAATACGATACAATCAAACTCAATACAAAGATCTGTATAATAAATAACAGACACATAGAAGAATTTCGTCGACGTCGACAAGTCAGTAGACTCGACCTGCAACTGCAACTCAGTTGGCAGAGCGATGCTACGGTACAGCGTGGTCGCAGGTTCATATCCTGTCGGGTCGAATGAATTTGTCTTTATGTTCGATCTTTGTATTAATAATTAGAACAAAGTATGAATGTGTCCATTCGTAGTTATTATAAAGCATAAGATGTTTTTCTGAAAATATTTTTACGTTATATGTATTCACAGAACTTGAAGAGGAAGGTGAAGAAGAAGAAGATGGCAGTGAGGAACTCACAGACGACACTCTCACCGATCCTGAGCTGGATGCTGAGTTGGACCCTGAGGAGAGAAAGAAGCGACGGCGAGAACGACGTGAACAGAAGGTACGACGAAAAACAACTTCATAGTTTAATTGGTTTATCATTTGGGATAATGGTAAAATTCAACGTGGCATTACGGGAAAATTCAAAATATTCAACGTAGCATTATGGGAATAGTCAATGTAGCATTATAGGAATATTCAACATAGCATCATGGGAATATTCAACGCAGCGTTATGGAAATGTCCAATGCGATATCATGGAAATATTCAACATAGCATTATGGAAATGTCCAATGCGGCATTATGGATATATTCAACGTAGCATTATGGAATGTTCCAAAATGCTTTCAGACTAGACTTTTCGAGTGAAGATTAGCTAATGTTATGTTTTAACATTAGAAAACACAAATTTTGAAGATAGTTATAAAATTTCAATAATAAAGTATTTAAAATCTGAAATTTTGTTAAATTAAAAACATTTTTGAATAAATAAAAATGTTGCTCTTTTTGATAGAGGTGCCTATTCTTTAACATCTCTTTTTTAAAGCAGCATTAGATTGAACTCAATGCGCTATTTTGTGCAGTTGTGTAAAAATAAATTTCTCACTTTTTTGTTTCATTTACAGGAACGGCTGAACCAGGAGAAGGCACATCAAGCGCGAAAGGTCCTGGAAGAAAAGAAGGCTGAACTTCAGCGGACCAAGTACGATTTTAATAATTTTTTTATTGTCGTCATCGTCATTGCATAATCTTCATCAGATACTGCATAGCCACCCCGACGCGTCCCGAATAATGTCTCCAGTTAATTTAGCGATACTCAGAAGGCTTCCATGTTATCCAGCGCGAAATATATTTTCGGTTCCAGTATCTCGTAATAACGTTGGTACAGACGAAGTTGACATCTTTCACACCTCTTTATATAAATTGGAGTGGTCGGAGCCAAAGTGTAGTGCTGCGGTGATTTTGTATACATGTTTGATTAGGTAATATTTTGATTTATCTGTCTGGATTTTATTTAGTGTTTTCTTGAGGTATCGTTTTTCTAATGGGGCTGACATGTTCAATAACGATCAAGGCCCTAAATAAATAAAAAAAGTTGAAGTGATATCACTTGTGGAAGTGGACGCAACTGCTCTAAGGGTCGTATTCTAAAACTCTACTCAATGCTCAAGTCAGGGTTTGAGTATGGTTTAAAGCACTCGAAATCATACTCAAGTCCCTGCCATTAGGGTCGTATTTCCAGTGCTTGTGTTTCCAGTGCAATCCTGACTTGAGCATTGAGTTCTAGAATACGACCCTAAGAGTGGAGTCTTAGGGGTTTTCTTTGATAGTCTCTTAGATTGATAACTCCAATGAACATTACGCCAACTTAATGTTTGGTCCTGTTCTGTTTTTATTTTGTTTTTTGTTTCTTTATTTTTTTTCACAAAATTCGGGGAGCATAAAATTAGTAAATAAATATGGCCGTTTACAAAAATAACAGAAAATGACCAAAAAAAGTAGTGTCTGTTTTTGTTTTCTTTTTCTTCTGTACATTATTTTTATTTTCTATTTTCATTTATATGTTTTTGATGTTATCTGGCGTAATTACTGTATATTCCTGTAGTGGTGCAACCATAAACCAATGATACACGAGGACTGCTAATCATGGTACGAGAATGCGTAGTCGGGTATTTATACTTCGTTTCAATCCATTTTCAACAAAATGTAAACAAATAAGTCACTAACCCGACCATAGACGGTTTAGTGATGGCCAATTGTAATGCCAACTACAAATCGATTAATGAATTGAATCAATCTATTTGTTCAATTGAGTCATACTAGCGGTTTTCCCTACCTATATAAGCATATTGAAAACTTTCGAAATCTTAATTTTAAGTCCTCCTTGAAATCCTTAAACTTAGATACTCGTTCGATTGCGATTGAAATATTCGGTTTACTAATCGATTACAAAAACTTTTATTGAATGAACCGATTTTTTTTTCGTACAGCACTATGCAACCATAGACAAGTCACAGATGTATAGATGAAAAATAACCTCACTTTTGGACTACCATTTTTCAAATACAATTTTACGATGCTATTCAAATGAATGTTGTTGGAAAAAGTGATAAGATATGAAGTCGAAATCTTCGAAATATAAGTGAAAATGTTACTTATTCGATTTATTGAGTGATTGCTTTAGAATTTTAACCAAACAGTTTTGTTTACTTTTTGTTGAAAATGTATTGGAACAGACTTTAGTACCTATAGGTACACCAGATGTCGCGATGGGTACCAAATAGCTATATTACTAACTAATTTGTTTTACGTTGACGAACTATAATTGATCAAAGCTACTCTAATTTCTAGTGATAACAAACTAATCAACAAGATGGCGCTTATTGCACAGATTTTTATGGATAGAGCCGGCTATTCTTTTATTTTGTGATGTAGCATATTCCCGGGGTGCGGTCGGGACAAATACACTATTGTTTACATGTTGGAATTATCCAAGGTTGGACAACTAACAAAGGAAACCAACACCAAGTTTTAACATTGATCGGTTTACAATAAGCAATAAATGCACCTCTTAATTATACTTGAATTTCATGAACCACGCGGGGTTACTACCCTAACTAATCTAGTGACGGCGGTGAGCTAAAGGGTAGGTTCACGGGTTTGAAGGGTGAACATTCGCACAGCAATTGTTCTCCCAACACAGGAGGCAGATAGAGGTAGCTATGCGGGGGTGAAGGGTGAGCGATTCGCACAGCCTGGACACACCTTGGTGACAGAGAGATTAACATTCTTACACTATCTAATGAAGTGTCGATTTCTCACTATAGATGCAACCGTTGTCCCACTAGGGATACTGATTTTTACAATGCTTACCTATACTGTTTTTCTTCAGAAAACATCAAGAGGAGCTTAAAGACAAGCTACAACGCCTGGAGTCCAAGGTTCTCGTGGGTGGTGAGAACTTGCTAGACAAGGCCGATGCCCAACGAAGACTGCTAGAACAAGCCACTAGGGAGTTGGAGCAAAGGCGTTTGAACGAACAACGGCTGCAGGAACATTTGCAGAAGAAAGAGGTGAGTTTATAAACTCAAATTGTCACATCAACTGCATTCCGCTCTGGTGGAAAGGATAGGATATGGAAGCAAATGCTTGTAATTATAGCACAATTTACTTTATGTCAATTGTGTAACTCACAAATTAGTTATTTTTTATTTTATTATTTGGGAAACAAACAGTAATTAAATAGTAAAATTTACAAGTATAATTTGTATACAAATTAAATGTAATAGTAAAAAGTTATCACTCAAACCAGCAAAGTTTCCACTAATAAGTATAACAAGAAGATTGTAAAAAAGTTGCTGAATTTAAATTAAAAAATTTTATACAGAAAATAATTTATTATTAATATTAATTCTTCCAATACTCGACAATGCCGACGTTTGTTACTTGTATTTAACCGGAGAGCTTCTGAAAAAACTAGAGCGCCTACGAAACGTAGCTATCCGATTTACTTTCGGGTTGCGTAAATATGATCATGTCTCCGAATTTCGCGCTCGGTTAAAATGGCTGCCAGTTCGCCTCTGACGTGATGTGCATATCCTGTCAACACTTTTTGATATACTTAATGACCATAACTCCCCCTCCTACCTTCGTTCCCGGTTTAAGCTGCTGCCCCCTCCCATCCGCTCAAGACGTCCTTGCATCATTAAGATGCTCGTTCGTCCCAGCTACAATACAAATTTCGTTTTTAACTCTTTCTTCTCGAGCAGCACAGTTGTGGAACAGACTCCCTTCTTACATCCAATCTAAACCGTCAATTTTCTTCAAGTCAAAAATTTCCTTCAAGAAAAGGTTGATAGCGCACTTTCTTGCTGAACTCTCTACGTAAACATCTTATATGTGTATTTTATGTATATATATATATTATATGTGTGTATATTTACGTTAAATATTTTACGTGTGTATAATACTTATGTTAGATATTTTTAATTCTCGCAATTACGAACACGCGCAGTTGGCTGTATGAGTTTTTCGTTTTTCCTGTTTATATAGTTCACTGTTAGTAGATGGCAAACAATGTTCGATTTTTGAAAGAAATGCAGAAATTTCCGAGCATGTTTGAAAAAATTGAATTGTCTCTACCACGGGCATAACTCCTAACCGATTGCGATGTTCTCTCTGTTCGGCAACTGTTTACCCAACAATAGTTTTGAAAAAACACTCAATTACTACATTTGATTCCGTTACTTTAACCAACGACTCGATACTTTTTCATCTCGTACGCAACTCCGCACAACACTCTCGCATAGATTCTTTTGCTTCTTTGATACATTACTTTATATTAAATTCTAGTTTGCATCCCGAGCTTGCTGAAAATCAGCGGCACGAAACAGTAAAAAAAAAAGCCGTTTGTGGCTAAAGCTGAGCAAGTCCCAATTGCACCAGCCGCGACACGCATGACGGTGACTTAGGTACTGCATTATCAATTGTTTTAATTCAGTAATCAGTATCAATTTTTTTTATTGTTATTATTATATCATTATTTATTTAGATTCTCGCCTCTCCGAGGGCCTAAAAGATTAATTTTGAATTATTATTATTATTATTGTTCCTATGTTATTTTGTCTATATGCGTGTATGTGCTTGTGTAGCAAACAGTTTTCTTTCTTTCGTTCATTATTTCGTCATGAATAAAATAAAATGTAAAAAGACCGTCAAATTCTCGCTTAAGAGTAAAACTTACAATGAAACAGATGGCTTGCTGGAAGTTGTTTAATTTACTTTGTAACTATTTATTATTTTGTTGTTAAATATAGAAAATCCGTTTTTAAGCGGTAGTCTAAAGAAATTTGCCCAAAAAAATGCCTAAAGTACACATTTACTTAGTTTAAGCGTCACAATTACACATTAGGTTCTAATATTAAAATATATAGCTTTACTATGAAGATTGTATAATTTAGGCTCCTTTCTTAATGCTTGTTTAAATACTTATATAATAGCTTTATTTACATTTGTTTTCTTCAGGCCGAGCGCCTGGACCTGGAGGAACGCTACTCCAGTCTCCAAGAGGAGAACTCAGCAAAAACACGCAAGCTGAAACGCGCCGTTCAGCTCCTCAACTCAGCTAAAGCTGAGCTGGCTGATCAGCAACGCGAGCAGCAGAGAGAGATGGAAGGCATATTGGACAGCGTCAGAGCTTTGAAAAGGGAGATACAGCTGGCGGACTTGGTGCTCGACTCTTATATACCTAAGGAGTATCAAGTTAGTATTGGATACTTTACCACCAGGCGAACGACTTGTTCGTCCGGTATGGCACTTTGTACCATAAAAAAATGCATGAATAAAATATTCAACACAAGCGCAAATATTTTGCATGTTTCCCTCACACTACCTGAAGCTGCAAAGCCTTGAACACCGTCGTGAAGTTGTCAGCTTATCGATATTCTACAGGATCATCGAGTATATAACCAGAAATAGAGACGAAATAAGGGCCATCCATCTCTGGCTACTCATCAGGTAAATGGGGCTTATATCACTTTTAAATATCAACACTGAAACAGTTTAGCGCTAACAACTGACCTGTGTGTACGTCTCCGTATATTCCAAAAATATTCTGTATCTATTGTAACAAAGATAATAATATCTAACAATGGGGGCTGTTCCATTCGGTGGTGTGGGAAAAACAGCAAAACATCTTATTATAAAACAAACGGAATCACATTCCATCGGTAATTAAATATTAAAAATGTAATTTTGCAACTTTCGTCCATTATAGCAAAGCTCAAGTTAAACTGGTCGATTTGAAGTGAAACAATTGACGACACCCGTCAATTGTTTCGAATTCGAGCTGGCCAATCGGAGCGCAGTTGTCACCATAATAATTTGGCAGAATAATTTTCAAACAAATTAAATGGCATTTCGTCTCTATTTCTGGTTATATACTCGATGTACAGGATATATCACGGAGAGTGCGATGGAACGACACCATTTAATTACGCTTTCCCCTTTCCATCATCGGGGGACTAGACGTGGGCTTGCTTTCCACCCCTATGTTGTGGATATTCTAAAGATTCGCACGAAGCGTTACGCTTCCACATTTATATGGCGAACGGCTGTGGAGTGGAATTCTCTGCATGCAGACGTATTCCCTGAACTTTATAACTTGGACCTTTTCAAGGCGAGATTGAATAGCCATTACTTAGGTGTGCATACTCCATCATAAGGTGAGATGGAGGACAAATGCGCACTTACTTAAGGTCTTTTTGTTATACAAATGTATAAAAAAAGACCTTCACAGAATTCGTAGAGCAGCAAGGTATTTTATTTCCATTTTTATTAACCCACTTTTTTTCTGTATAGGCATTGATCGAACAATACGTCCACTGGAACGAACAACTCGGCGAGTGGCAGGTCCGCTGCGTGGCGTACACTGGCAACAATATGCATCATCATCAAGCGCATAATCATCACCACCATAGCCAGAAACACGTCAGTATCATTGCCTTTTATTAACGGACAATAAACACTTATTGATACCGATTGATGTCATCATAACACCCGGTCTCAAAACAATCCCATATCTTCTACTAAGTTTGATTGTTACCTGGTGTTCACCAAGGTACAGATTACTTAATAATTGCTACGTAACAGATACATCACTCTCATACAAAATCGAAAATACCTACGCTATAATAGCCTACTATATAAGAGGAAAAAGGAACCTAAGCACGCGCTCAGAGAGGTGGAAATAACGTTGCCTGCCGTGTGCAGTCGTGCGGAGCCGAATGCTCATAAATAAAAGATTTGTATGAGAGCTTGTGCCGACGTCGGTACACTCAGCGATAGACACTCATCGCGTAACTTTGTGCGAGAGACGGAGCCCTGGCCAGGGTATTTAATAAATCTTAAAATTAACGGACGTTTGTACAATAGAGTGATGGTGAACTATTGTTGTTGTAAGAAAAATAACCCAGTAATGATAGTCCCAATAATCTCACTACAGAGTACTAAAAAACCGACTTCAAAAGTTCATGGAATTACATCTATTTGCGTAGTTTTATTGAAATCGGTTACCGGAAAGTGCGCGAAACCGCATTAATCCCCTAATTTGCCACCCTTAGAAATGGAATATTTTCTTCAAATTTAAACGGGAGCAATACTGAGGTACCCTCTTTCCGTCAAAAAAAGAATCCTTCCCCCGAATCTTTCCCCCAGGCCTTCCCCCGAATCTCCGAATAGTTCGGACGTGTATTTGGCTGCGAATTCACAATAAATTATAAAATAATAATAACAAGTTAAATCCAAATAGTGTCGGATTAATAAACCACAATATTAGGAGAACAGCGGGCCACAGAAGCCTACACACTAATTTGTATGTTAATATGTGTGGGGGGGTCGGTTGGGGGGCCGGTTGGGGGGTCGGTTGGGGGGCCATTAGGGGGGCCGGTTAGGGGGTCCTAATCCTAACTCACCCCTAACAAACCTCTAACCCACCCCTAACACATCCGCTAAACCACCGGGAGATAGGGTGATAATGTATTGTATGTACTTGCTTGTATCAATAAAAATATTTCATTTCATTTCATTTCAATCATCAAAATAGATTCTCAAATTATCGCGTAACGTACATACAAAAAAAGTCGAATTGAGAATCTGCTTCTTTTTTGAAGTCGGTTAAAAATGGCTTTATATAGAGTTTTACTAAAGCTATTTTCAAAAATAATTCAGTCTTTAAATTTGAATGTTTATTTCCAAACAAATCTTTCTTTCTAGGTTCCCCGCAAATTATCTATTGCGAAATGTGAACGTAGAAAGACTCTACCGCCGCCGCCGATCTTTGTTAGTTATACTTTAATCATTTTAAAAACGACTACGAAAACTAATTTATCGGTATTTTTTGTAATATTTCTTTTCTTCGAGGCACAAATTCCTAGGAACATTATTCATATACTTACACGTTAATTTGTGTTATTTAGAGTGTACCAGGACTTAGTAGCAGTAGAGCTCCGTGTGAAAGAGTTTATCCGGGGAAGTATTGCCACCTTATCTATTTCTGCCGCCAAGCAATAAATGTTAGCATTACTGTGTTCCGGTTTTGAAGGGTTAAGGGTGCTGGTGAAATTACAGGCACATGGGACTAGTCAACTTATGTTTCAGGGCGACGGGCGCTATGGCAATGTCCCCAAGACCTTTGCGATTAAAAACTCTTGAGTGGCACTGCAACTGTTATGGACAGGCGTGTAGGCACGGAAGAAAAAAATAATAATGGAAATGCCATGCCTCGATTACTATCAGAACCGATGTCGCCAAAACTCACACATGCTTAATTTGAAACACTGCGAAATCTTGATAATGATTGTTCGTAGTTTCAAATTTTAAAAAGAAATAACAGTTTCTGGATTTTTAATACAACTTAGACTTTACCCTGTTGGCATATCGTTGAAAGTGCAATACCACAAATCCCTATTATTACAAGTTGCGACGTTTTGATATTAAATTGAAATTTCAATCAATGTTTTGCCATCTAGCGGTTAATTGCTGAACCACAGCGACTTCGAGTTATTTATTTAGTTCTCAAAAAAAGAAGCGACCATTTTGCAAGGGTATAAGCTTTATTTTCGTTTCTTGTAACAAAAAAATGATTTCGATTAGAGGAAAATTGAAAATTTATTGAAACAAGACTTACCGATGATTTGAAATACTACTACTGGTAATATTTTTGGTGGAGGTATCATTTTTGCACTCCAAATCAGCACTTTTCTACGATTTTAGAGAATTAGCGCGAAAGAATTGACACAACCATACCGTACAAAGCAAAAGTGGCTGGCTGAACTCACATAGGTCCTAAGAGACCTATAGTTGGCACGCGTGTGAGGCTGACTAACCACTTCTACTGTATTTTCTGTTTTGTGCCTATAGCTTACCATCTGGCGTCCCGTCACTTGATATTATAAAAAAAAATTAAATTAATTTTCAACTTTCCAGATCGAGCCGCCGGATCTATCTGACCGCTACCTGTCATACAGCAATGCAATATCTCGACCGGGCACCCGTCTAGGACGACCCCACACTTCTGCTGTGCCGCGTCCACACACCGCTTTGAGGCAGCGCCAATAGACTTATCTACGACATCGCGATAGATATGTGGCTGCACTGTAGGCACTTTTTAGATGCTAGTAGAACATCATGTAAACCACCAAGATATACATCCCCCATATTTCGGCAGTGTCACCTTCACACACAAAGGTGGCTACTGGCAGACCGGTAGGCAGTATTTACATTTCAATATTCTAGTAGTAAATCTGTGTACTGTAGCATCAAGAACGTCATTGTTTAGTGAATTTGAGAAACGTTTTCAGTCTCGCTTATACACACATTATGGGGAAAGATACAACAGCATTCGTTTACATTTTCATCTAATCAGATAGATAGAATTTGGAACGGACTCAATTCAAATTACTTGAGGCGCCATCTGTTGACAAAATATGGATCTATGTAGTCGAGAGCTGTCGTTCAACCATCTAAAACAAACTTTATTAGAATAGCCTGTACGCTGTACTCATTTGTACGCAATTAAATGTAAGACCACGTTTGTAACATAGCACTGAGGGATATTTTTACAATTTTATAAATTTTTCAATCACATTTTAAAGCAGTTTGGTATCACGACAGGGAATGTACCGATCCACATTTAAAAGTGGTTTGTATACAATTCAAAATAAAGCTCAAAAGGTACCATTAGGTACTTTTCCCGCGCCCCGTCACAGACTAAGTTCATATGGGAGGTGCAAGCGTTTACATAACAGCACACGTGCGCACAGTGAAGCGCGCTGTAATCTAAACTATAGGTCATATATTCATTGATCTCAACCTACACTATTTTTACATATTATTTGATTTAAAAAACAACCTCAAATGGCTTTGATTGATTCCGCATAACAGTGAAATTGTTGAATCAATCAATTTGGAAAAATATATAGTAAAATTGAAGATTTACACTGAGTGAAACACGATTCCTAAAAATGTTCAGGATAGAACAAAAAACACAAACTTACCTCGAAATTTTACAAGAAAACCGCTGTATTCAATAGGTACTTTACATATACCAATGATTTTTATTATATCAACTGTACTAAACAGAACACGTATACTATACGGTCATTGACTTACAATTATATGGACGTCGGGTCCGCGCTAAAAAGTGTCCGAACTTATAGGGCGTTAAAATCGTATACAGAGCGTCATTCACGCTTTAGTCTGCGTTTGTTCGACTGACAGCGAAGCAAGCAAAATTAGACAGTACTGCGATGACATTACAATTGAAATTCAACGTTTTAGCTTTTTCATATTCCTTTACATGTCACTACGTTTAAACAGGTTGACTTGGGACATTTTTTTCGTGGTTTTTGTATTAGACCCGTCGTCTATTTATTTGCAAGTCAATGTATACGGTATACATTTTTCAAATGACTTAAATTTCGTTTATAAAAAAAATCTGAAATAAAGCCAGCGGTCCTGCCGTTCAACGCAAGCAAAATTAACCATATTAGAACGGGAAAAATTCTATTTCGAGCAGAGGTAGTATCGATTCGTAATCGGGTATCGTTTTGGACGTGTTGCAACTTCAAGACCATGAACGTCTTGAAGGCTGCTTACAATCCTTTTGAGATCACGTTGCAACACATCCAAAGGGTTTTTTAAATCAAATTGTCATATAAAACAGTTATGTGGCAACATCGGTAGACTTTCTACTTTTCTCTTTTTGTAAAAAACTCGTCTCTCTAAAGTAGTTGTCAGTGCTTCAAAAAAATAATGAAAAAAAAGCAAAAATTATAACAAAATATACATTTATACCACATTATACAACGTCACTTACACGTTTAGCAAAAAAGTTCAACTCAAGTATTGGATGAATTAGTGAACAAGATTTACCAAAGATGTACAGAGAGCAAACTTCAAAACTAAATGCCTCCCTCTGGGTTAGGCAGAGATCATGAACCTTTTTCATTACGGTCTTCACAAATTTCTCACGCTTTTTTCACTCGCCTCTGTCTTTTCATATATACCCGTTTGGCCACAAACTGGACGACGACAGCGAACGTTGGTGCGGCAAAATGGCATGTTCTCGAAGCCAGTGACCTGAAAGTCTACCACGAAGTATGATACTACGTAACTGCGTCCGCAACGAAGCTCATACGTACTACATATCGTCGGTGTTTTGTTGAAAGGGCGAAAGCGCCATTCCGAATTTTTTTTTGTTCAAGGGAGCTTATTTTAGTTTAAAGTAAACTTAAGCTTAATTCAAACCAAAATTGAATTTTAAAATAGGACATAAATATTTTAAAACAGTGGTGAAAAACTAAAACAAAATATTTCAAAATGGCGTTTTCGCCTTTTGTACAAAACACCGACGATATGTCAGTTTTACGATGAAAGTAATGTCAAAATTCGATACGAAAGCTTTTGACGTTTCGGAGTAAGGACTTATGTCAAATCACGATCTTCGTACGCGTTTCGTGGTAGGCTCCGGTCCGATACGAAGCTAAAACGATGATCGTTGCTTCATATTTCGTAGTGGACCTCCAGACGCTTTGTTTGCAAAAGTTTGAAAGTGACGTAAAGGAAGTGTGAGCGCGATGTCGATACGCGATGATGATAGATAGATAGAGACTTTATTCACTTCCATGACAGCTTATTAACATAAGATCCACTAAAACTAACACCATAATTATTATATTGTACCACAAAAGAAACAAATTATTATAACAAAAGGAACGTATAACAATACATATAACTAATTATAGTGAATAGTTTTGGAAGTTTTGCAAGTCAGTGAAAAGGCGCTGGCTCAGCATAAATGCCGCAGTTTCCCACGACGCTGGTATTCTGACAGAACCGTGTTAAAAGAGACGCCATTCATCTCCGACAGACCTCTGGTGTTATCGTTTAATTGAAAAAAAAATTATATTAATATTTTTTGAGAAGACAATATGATAACAAAATGTGTGTGTGTGTGTGTGTGTGTGCATGCGTACGTGCCTGCCGCCGCCCACAGTCGTCCAGTTTGTAGCCTTTATCCTTGATTTGTGCTGTTCTCGGTAACCCAAAATAGCTAACCTATTTTAGTATTAAAAATCAGCACTGCTGATACGACGACGCAATCTCACAAACTTTATAAAGTTACTTATGAATTAAAAGACACAAGTATTAATAATTGCTTTAATATTTTATGTAGAGATGAAATTGATACTGTCACTATTCAGCAAATCCATATTTGTTTCTTTACCGCAAACAAAACATGTTTTAAGATTGAAATTAAATTAAAAAAAACCGATATTTAGAGTAGGGCGTAAATGACAAAGTACAAAGTTTTCTTTTTTTGACTTACCAAGTGACGAGACGAATAAGTGCGCCTGGTGGTAAGCGGCACGCCTTTCCATAGCAGTTACAATGCCACTCAGAGCTTTAAATCACAAAGATCTGATGGACAGTGCCACGGCGCCCGTCACCCTGAGTATAGGTTGACAAGTCCCATGTGCCTGTAATTTCACCAGCACCCTTCAAAACCAAAACGCGTAGTGCACGCATTACTGCTTAACGGCAGAAATAGGTAAGGTGGCAGTACTTCTCTGGACGGACTCTTTCAGAAGAAGTTCTACTGCTACTTATATATAACAACTTCATATCTTCATATCTTATTCTTTTTTATACCTATTTTTATGTTAAATATCTAGTTTTATCGAATAAGAACAAGAAATGTTAACCCAAGTACAGCTACGTCACATAAGTAATTGTCGATAAAAATTTACGCCCTATCTTTTCCGAAGTATCGATATATTTTTAATGCAAGCTCAATGCGATAATGTTGTAAAAAACATGAGTACGTTTATAAACTCGACTCAATTTTGTACGGTCGGTGACCTAAACACTCGCGAGTTCAGGGGTCCTATTCTCGCCATCGGGCGCTTGTCGACATCGGATCTGTGTCAAATTTTCTCCGCCTGTCCTGACTCCCGCATCTCACCTCCCTAAATCTAAATTCCCGTTGAAATACCTCGCCTTTAACGAAGAGATGGGCCCGTTTAAACTGTCATTCTAGTTCTAGCCCCGATCGAAATTCATGTCTGTAGGTTATCCATAGTGGGAAAACGGATTTACTTAACTACGGATTTCGTGCTTCGAGAATAAGGCCCCATAGCCGAGTTGAACGCGAGTTATCGGCGTACGGAGTCGAGTCGTAAATTCTAACTCGAGTTTTGAACAAAACTACTACTTGTTGTACAACAATGCCTTAATACACCTGAACTCCTAACCGTCTATTTGGTTCTTAGTCGATCAATGTGAAGAAGAAGTTAGATAAACTTAACCTTTAACATGTGATCCGTGATCTTTACCCGTGAGCCGTGACCCTTAACATGCGAGTCGTGCCCTTTAACATGTGAGCCGTGACCTGTGTGTAAAATTCATTTTGGTATGACTTCCTTATTGCATCATTAGTGAACGCGACGTTTTGAGAAACTGTTTAAGCCAATTTGATCTTTAATTACATTGCATTCGTTTACACTTTTCTATTGTATGGTTAAGAAGGCTTTCAGAACCAAAGAGCCGGCTAGAGAGTCAGGTACCTTAGAGATCTGATTGTAGATCCCAAGTGCGGTCTATGGCGCTAGTCAGAAGGATATTCGGCCAAATCATTATCAATTTCATCTCTAATTTTCGCCCTATTAATATTTACTAAATGTACTAGTCACATTCCAATGTATTTTAATTCGGCTTTTAAGGTCAATACCTCTACCATACCTTGATGTTAAGACTCGCTAGCGACTACGCGTAAATTGTATGGAGATTTTTTATGCAAACTTAATACTCTTGTAGATCTGACTGGCCTTTGTGAGAACCGAGTGAGAACACATTAAGTTAATTTTTCTTTTATCTTTTTACAAAAAGAAAGATTGGTTTCTACAATTGTTTTAGAATTTCTACTAAATGACTAATATCGACCCCTCCTACGTAAAGTATCATATGTCGAAATTGCTAAGTTTACAGGGGAGAGTTCTTAAGTTCGAGAAAACGAGTAACGAGAAATGCTAAAGTCGCGTGTTGTGCTATTTCAGTGAATTCAGAACTTTAAAAGGCTCCCCTGTAAACTTGGTGATTTCGACATACAATACTTTACGTAGGCGGGGTCGATATATTCTAAACTTCTTTCAGAGGGTGCCCACTCAGTCCAGTTTGTTATAACAATTATTAATACAAGATCGTCAAGAAAAACATCCTCCGATCTGACAGAACTCGAACCTGCGTCTGTTGCCATGCGGGAGCAACCGCTTTTAACCAACTAAGCGTTGCCGTAGCGCCATCTGTGAGAAATCTAAGGAAAAAAGTAGTTAAAAACCAAAAACGAAGATGCGCAACAAGAACATGGAAAAACTCTCTAAGATCTGCTGGTACGTTCCGTAGCTCAGTCGGGAGATCATCAGGCACGATATGCTAAAGGCGTTGGTTCAAATCCTGTCGGATCGAAGGAATTTTTCGTAGTGTTCCGTCGTTGTATTAATACGTCAGATATTGTCAAAAGGGGTGACGGGATGAGTTTGGGATTTTTGGGATACACACACTGCAGTTGCATTGGTATGACAACTCCCCGAGTAGCGCTAGATACCCCAAGGGATGCTAAAGCGTTCTTCTACGGTGATGGTGAACTGAACTCCACAATCTGGGAAGGCAAGGAGTCAGTGTGGCGCGCACGTCTCCTCGCCCCTAACAACACGGCAGGACTTCGTCTACGAATAAATATAACGAACTAGGGGAGAATTGATGTTTACGGGTACTGTATAACTGCCTCCGTGGCCGAACGGTTACCATGCCGGACTGCCATGCAGAGGTCCCAGGTTCGATTCCCGGGTCGGGAGAAATATTTGTATGGCCTACATTTATTTCTCTCGTGAGTTTGGGTGTAATTTGTGGTTGTCTACGTGTGTGTCCATGG